TTAAATGACTTTCCTAATCCCCACTGTAAAGTGAGCGCCGAGACAGAAGAATAGCATCTGAGCAGGGGTGTCCACATTTTTTTCACCGAGGGCAACATACAGACACCATTACTACGCAAGGGCTGGTCGCTCACGTAAGAGGGGTATTTTTGACTCATAAGTTTAAGTATAAATTGGAAAAAAATCATCCGAATGTAGGGCAATTATTCTTGAATTACTTGAAAATGCTTTAAGAAAAAAATCAGCTCAAACTCCAGAGGGTTTCCATTTATTGTGCTTGGCCAGCCGTTAGTCCTTAAAAACTAAAACTCAGAATTGCTCCTAAGCCGAAATATGAAGGGGGTCTATTTCAAGGTTGTTATGTAATATAAGTTCAGTGTTCCTCTACCAATTGTCTGGAGGCACTGCACCCCCGCCAACCCCGCGAGCCCCGCGCACCCCCCTGAAATTGAAGGTGTTCTTTAAAAAAATAAAAATAATTGTGTATATATAAATATATAGCACCAAAAATGACAACTTAATACTATATCTACGGTCCACATTGAACACTGTGCTCTTGTTATTAAATAAACGTAAAAACGCTTTTCAATTTTAAGTTGTGAGTTTTACGTGTTTGACCCTAAGTAAACACTCGAATGATTGATCAATAGCAATAATCCACAAGCGTAACTCGTCTCCTGCTGCCAGAGGATTTAAAAATTATATACCAATGCCCACCACCCGGCATAGGAAAAAAAAAAAGTAAAGCACTATAGAGAGTCGGCGCTTCTAACGCTCTGGACACCTGGCTCAACATGTAAGGCATAAGGCCTCACGAGCACATGAAGCACAGTTTGATTTCCAGGCGCGCACTAGAAAGCACCTTAACATGGCTACGGAGCTGAGACTTTGTTAGCCACTAAAGGAGCATTGTTACTGGAGATCTGGTGATGCTTGTTCTGTCAAAGAAACCCACTAAGCGGTTAAACATGAAGGCGTTTTATTGCCACCTGTCACATCATTAGGGCCCAGAAAGAAAACTGTAGGTCAGGACGCCAAGTTTCAGAGAGAGGGGTAATTTTGCCAGTAAATGTGAACTGGGATTGCCTCCAACTTTAATCCATGATGTCTGAGAATGCACAACATGTCACAGATAACAGTTCATACTAGGGATGCACCGAATATTCGGCCACCGAAAATTATCGGCCGAAAATGGTTAAAAAGCTGAAAGGGCCATTGATCATTACGTTGATCATACTCCGCATATTTGTCCGGGTGTTTTGATTTCAAGTGGTGGAGTAATCCCGAAGTGGTGAAAGTCTTTGCAGTTACACCCCCTCGAAAAAATGTCAACTGAAAACGTTTTACAAATCGCAATCCGCGCCTCGTTCTCTGATATTTAGAAATATCTCCAAGCGGCAGACATGTTGGCTGTGAGCCAGCCGCGAGCATGGTCGCGCGCCGTGCTTGTCGCCGCGTTTTGATTAGGTCATCACAACAACACGTTAGCTTACCAACGTAACCCTGTTCCCTGACATTCGTGGTATTTTTTCGGTGCTAAAACCTTTTCGGCCGATAATTTTCGGCGGCCGAATATTCGGTGCATCCCTAATTCTTTGTATGTGGAACTCAAAGTTAGAAGTTTTTAAACGTATGAAAGATACATTTTCCAAACCAAAGATAATAAGTTAGCACAACCTTTACTTATTTAAAATGTTTAGTATGCAGAACTCCAAACTTGAAGTTGTACAAAATTTGAATGAGTTGTCTGGACAAAATATAATTAGTTGACTCAATTGAAAAGAGAAACTTAGAAATGTTAGTTGGCCTCAAAACTTAAAAATCTTGTGCAACCTGTTGCCTTGAAATTTTGAGTTGTCCTAACTTTTTTTTTTTTACAGTGCATGCAACTGAGGATTTGTGTAATTGCTTGGTGCAAAATTTTTCATGGGGTGTGCAATATTGTTTCAAGACTTCACATGCCTACATGTGATGAGAGGATTGGCATAAAAATATATATAAAACAAATTAGTTTTGGGTATTTTTCTTCAAATGCAGCTAAAAGAAGACTCCATCAAATACGAATTTCAGTCCTGTTACAATTTCAGACACAAAATGGACACAAAGTATCAGAATGGATGAATCAGAACTACCTATATAATGTCATTATTATTGATGCCATATTTTCTGCTTCCTTGACAAATCATGCCGCAAAGTGACATGAATATGCTTTAGACACATTGTTCGTTGTAGCCTGTAAAGAGACTCTGATATGTGAAATTGGCCAAGTGCCCCTTAAACTAATCAAGGCTGCATGTTACATGATGTAAGCTGAATAATGTATTCTTTCTCAAGATAACAAGGTTTTCTATAGTTATCACTCTGCCAGGGGCTTGAACAGCCTTTTTATTGATGTGCTGTTATACAACTAAACATCAATGCAAGTGGTGGATTGATTTGTTAATCCCAGTTTGGTATAGTATTTCAACAAGACAAAGAGTCTACTGCCATGCTAGCGGATTAGGGTTAGGGTTAGGGTTGGGGGGTTAAGTACTGAATTAAAATGACAGCATGCTAACAATGACAATGCTAACATGCTTATGCTAAGCAGGATTGTTTACGATGGCCACTTTGTTTAGGCGAGTTGGTATGCCACATTTTAAATATCACAAGTGTTGCCGATAATTTGTCAAAAAACTAAGAACTATGAAAGGACATTTTAACAGACAATTACACAATTAAAAGTAAGCTAGTGGGAAGATTTTGTAATGGTCTTCAAGAAACTTTTTTTAAATCTACAAATGTGGAATTTATGGTGGTACTAGAGCAACGTTGTAGGCGTTACTAAAGTCAGTATGATTTATGCAGACCAAGAATGTCTGAAAATGGAAATCCATCCAATAGTTGTTGAGATATTTCTTTCTCTACCAAGGTTTGTCCGACCAACTGACATTGCCATCCTGAGAATCATTCCTGAAAAAAAAAAAAATGACAAACTTGTGCTAAGAGCAAGGCGAATACCTTTGGATATACTGTATCTGCACTTTTAAAAGTTTGAGTTCTTCATTAAAAGTAGCTTATAGTATTATTGATGATAATTGTGATGCTATGTTCTCCACATAAATTAAAGTAAATGATTAGATGATATTGGTTCCAAATAGTTGCTGGTGATTACAAAGACAACCCTTCAACATAACTGGCTTTGTTCACTTAATCAGTAGTACACAACACAAAGCCCTGTCACAGTTGTATAATACTGTAGGAGCTCACATTAAGTGATTTTGTGGCGAAGTTGAAAACAGAACTAGAACAGGATTATTATCACCAGGTGTGATTACTTCAATCAAGTCAAAGTCATCTCTGTTAACACTCTCTGTAGGGGTGCGGTTTGCACAATGACAGTCTGACAATGTGGTGAAGGGAGGAACAGTTTGGAGCAAGTTCCAACACAGAACATTTTTTCCCAGAGGAAACTTGAGCGAGCGGGAGGTGTAAAGTCTTGGCGTGAGCATAAATAGCACTCTGAGGTTTGGAGAATATGATATAACTACAGCTTGAGGGATTAAAGCACACTTGGTTAGCATGAGTTTCTCTTGTCCAAGGGGAACTCATGTATAATATAAGGAAACGGTTCAGTGACATGAAGAAGGGCGCCAAACATG